TGTATTCCTTAAAGTTGGTTATTTAATACTGGACAAGTGCTCTCATAATGCCTATTAATCATTTGTTGGTTAGACCACATGGCATTGATTGAATGTCTGAGCTGCATGTGCATTGGCACTTCTTTTTGTTTACAGCCAGGCACAGGCAACCATTTTTGACTATACCCATTTGCTATACTATTGTACTGACTCCTACATATCCACTTTGACACACTTCACACATGACACGGACATTTTTAAGAAACCTTAACTAAAGGAAGGTTTCATTTTGCACCCTACTCTGTTGTCCATCTCTTTTATGTTATGGCTTGACTCTGGGGAATCTAGCCATAACAGTTATACAGTATATGAGCATAGTAGATGTATCATTTATCTGTAGGCTACAAGGGTGGCCCACATGTGTGGGCGGCGGCCCGGTGTGGGCCGGTGCGTCTGAACGTCCCGGGCTGAATTTGTGTCCCCGTACGCCCCTGGTCTACCTTAAAGAGTCCTCTCCTGCTGATGTTCAGGTGTATATCAGTATGTAGTGTCTCTACTTTAAAGAGTCCTCTCCTGCTGATGTTCAGGTGTATATCAGTATGTAGTGTCTCTACTTTAAAGAGTCCTCTCCTGCTGATGCTTCAGGTGTATATCAGTATGGTCCTCTCCTGCTGATGTTCAGGTGTATATCAGTATGTAGTGTCTCTACTTTAAAGAGTCCTCTCCTGCTGATGTTCAGGTGTATATCAGTATGTAGTGTCTCTACTTTAAAGAGTCCTCTCCTGCTGATGTTCAGGTGTATATCAGTATGTAGTGTCTCTACTTTAAAGAGTCCTCTCCTGCTGATGATCAGGTGTATATCAGTATGTAGTGTCTCCACTTAAAGAGTCCTCTCCTGCTGATGATCAGGTGTATATCAGTATGTAGGGTTCTACTTTAAAGAGGTCCTCTCCTGCTGATGTTCAGGTGTATATCAGTATGTAGTGTCTCTACTTTAAAGAGTCCTCTCCTGCTGATGATCAGGTGTATATCAGTATGTAGTGTCTCTACTTTAAAGAGTCCTTCTCCTGCTGATGTTCAGGTGTATATCATGTATGTAGTGTCTCTACTTTAAAGAGTCCTCTCCTGCTGATGATCAGGTGTATATCAGTATGTAGTGTCCTCTACTTTAAAGAGTCCTCTCCTGCTGATGTGTTCAGGTGTATATCAGTATGTACTGTCTCTACTTTAAAGAGTCCTCTCCTGCTGATGTTCAGGTGTATATCAGTATGTAGTGTCTCTACTTTAAAGAGTCCTCTCCTGCTGATGATCAGGTGTATATCAGTATGTAGTGTCTCTACTTTAAAGAGTCCTCTCCTGCTGATGTTCAGGTGTATATCAGTATGTACTGTCTCTACTTTAAAGAGTCCTCTCCTGCTGATGTTCAGGTGTATATCAGTATGTAGTAGGGATGTTAAGATTCACCGATTCGCATCGGTGCACCGGCATAAACGTTGAAGATGCGAGTGCACATCGGCTACAGTTTAGGTTGAACTCGCGATGCATCGATTGTAGCGTCTTTGCATCGGTAAAAAAACTATTCATTCATATGAAATCCCCTCATCCAATCAGCACTCAGCAGAGACGACCTTTGATATTTGCTCCGCACTACGGAGGCCGAGAGTCTCAGTTATCAACACACATGGAAGTCGAGGAGAAAGAGAAACACAGCGCACCGAAAAATACCTACAAATCAAACGTTTGGCAACACTTCGGATTTTTCAAGAAAGACGGTCAACTTGAAAAATCGCTCGCAAATTGTAAACGACCGCTTTAAAGTACACAAGTAGTACGAGGAACTTAGCGACGCACATAAAGAGGCGACATGGGGTCTGCGGCTGAAAAGAGAACCCTGAAAGTTAGACATGAGTGAAATCACTCAGTGAGGTGTTCTGTCAGAGAGAGAGGTGTTTACTTTACAGCAGCCTGTGACGGCCAATAACAGTGTACATGTCTTCCTCACTGTAAGCAGTTATGAAATACCTGTTTGTGAAAGGTTATTTGTATTCTTTATTGTTCCCATAGAAACCACTGCTTTCTGCTCACTGGTGAGTTAGCCTATGAATGAGTGTTCAGCTCATCAGTCAGCAGCTCATTGTTAATCATAGGCAATGCATCCTGTGAGGTGTTATAACATTGTGCTGTACTATGAGACAGAGAACACTACTACACCAGGTCCAAGTGGTTTTTTTTTTTTAAGGTAAAAAAATAACAGCATGATGGGATGCGCAGTACTAGTAGAGAGAACCAAATATGTAAAGCACTTTTTTGTTAATTTATGATTTGCTGCATATAAGGAATACAACTAAAATCCTCTGTCGTACCAAACTGAAGTATCATTATTTAGCATCGTGTTGAATCGCATCGTATCGAACAGGGGTGAATCGTATCACATCACTTCGTGTTTCAAATGTATCGTTAATGTATCGTATCGTGGCAACGTATCGAGATGCGATTCCCATCGGCCTAAGTGATGGAGATGCACATCCCTAGTATATAGTGTCTCTACTTTAAAGAGTCCTCTCCTGCGGATGTAGCAACAAATATAAACCTGAAAATGAGCATGTCATGTCCTCTTAAAATAAAGTCTCTTTTTCTGTCTGTATTTCATGTTGTTAATTTACGCATTTTAAGGTGTCCTTGTGTGTCTTGAAAGGCGCCTCCAGATAAAATGTAATATCATCATTATTAATATTCTCACCGGGCCCATGGCAACCGTTTGCAGGTAAAATGAAGGATAAGTGCCTCAAAATATGAGAGGAATTAATGAAAAGGTATATGAATTAATAGTTCCCGTTTTTATTTTGACGTTCATTTTCTCCTTGTGTCTTACCTCCTGTGTTTCCCCTCCTGTGCCTGATTGCTGTGTCTTGTGATTAGTCTTGTGTGTATTTAGTCTGGTCTTCCCGAGTTTTCTCTGTCAGTTTGTTGTTGTTGTTTCCTTGGTTTGTTTGTATTCTGGATTCCTCTCATCTGTCCTCTAGCTTTCCCTTTTGTTGATCGTGCCTGCTCGTCAATTGTTGTACTGTTTGTTTGGAACAGCTTTTATTTAATGAAGCTTGCTTTTTGTTTACGCTCTTATACCCTACTCTTTTATTCTGCATTGGGTCCTTGTTACCTCCTGACAGCTACTGATATATCACTAACAGACTAAGCTAAATACCATGTAGTCATTTCGTATTATAGTTTTATAATGGAGTTACAACATTAAAAGGCCTTAAAACGGCTAATTGGATCTTTTTGAAATGTATTGTGAGCACCGAAACCAAACTGACAAGCAGATGTACCGCTATGAATGACTTAAACCAGGAGAAACCAGAGGAACCAGAAGAGACCAGAGGAACCAGAGGGAGGAACCAGAGGGACGAACCAGAGGAAGGGACCAGAGGAAAGAACCAGAGGAACCAGAGAGGAACCAGAGGAAGGAACCAGAGGAAAGAACCAGAAGAACCAGATAGGAACCAGAGGAAGGAACAGGAAGAACCAGAGAGGAACCAGAGGGAAGGAACCAGAGGAAGGAACCAGAGGAAATAACCATATGAAGGAACCAGAGGAAGGAAGCCCAGAGGAAGGAACCAGAGGAAGGAACCAGAATAACCAGAGAGGAAACCAGAGGAAAGAACCAGAGGAAAGGGACCAGAGGAAGGAACCAGAGGAAAGAACCAGAGGAAGGAACCAGAGGAAGGAACCAGAGGAAAGAACCAGAGGAAGGGACCAGAGGAAAGAACCAGAGGAAGGAACCAGAGGAAAGAACCAGAGGAGCCAGAGAGGAACCAGAGGAAGGAATCAGAGGAACCAGAGGAAGGAATCAGAGGAACCAGAGGAAGGAACCAGAGGAAGGAACCAGAGGAGCCAGAGAGGAACCAGAGGAAGGAATCAGAGGAACCAGAGGAAGGAATCAGAGGAACCAGAGGAAGGAACCAGAGAGGAACCAGAGGAAGGAACCAGAGGAAGAACCAGAGGAAGGAACCAGAGGAGCCAGAGAGGAACCAGAGGAAGGAAACAGAGGAACCAGAGGAAGGAATCAGAGGAACCAGAGGAAGGAACCAGAGAGGAACCAGAGGAAGGAACCAGAGGAAAGAACCAGATGAAGGAACCAGAGGAAGGAACCAGAGGAAGGGACCAGAGGAAAGAACCAGAGGAAGGAACCAGAGGAAGGAACCAGAATAACCAGAGAGGAACCAGAGGAAAGAACCAGAGGAAGGGACCAGAGGAAAGAACCAGAGGAAGGAACCAGAGGAAAAAACCAGAGGAAGGAATCAGAGGAGCCAGAGAGGAACCAGAGGAAGGAATCAGAGGAACCAGAGGAAGGAACCAGATAAATGAACCAGAGGAAGGAATCAGAGGAAGGAACCAGAGGAAAGAACCAAAGGAAGAAATCAGAGGAACCAGAGGAAGGAACCAAAGGAAGGAACCAGAGGAACCAGAAGAACCAGAGGAACCAGAGGAACCAGAAGAACCAGAGGAAGGAATCAGAGGAACCAGAGGAAGGAACCAAAGGAAGGAACCAGAGGAACCAGAAGAGTCATAGAAACCAGAAGAACCAGAGGAAGGAATCAGAGGAACCAGAAGAGTCATAGAAACCAGAAGAACCAGAGGAAGGAATCAGAGGAACCAAAGGAAGGAACCAGAAGAACCAGATGAACCTCGGTGCATGTTACATTATGTTGGCCCCTTAAAAAGCCAAGGGGCCCCCAGGGACAGATGGATGACAGACAACCAGCCGACGGCACATTGTTGTTGTGCGCTCAGTTGGGTGAGATGCCTCCCCCCTCTCCATTCTCTCCATAGGTCAAAGGTCAGAGGGCACAAGCTTGCTGTCTGGAGACTCTTTCATTTCCCTCAGCATCGTATATTCATTCATACGTACTTCATCTGGTCTGTTTTATTATTTAATATTTAGTCAGTTCTGGTGTTTACAATGTATTATTCAGATATATTCACTTTGTCTTACTAATGATTTTCCGCTTTTCACTTGTTAGTGCCAATCAATCACCAGGAAGAAGAGCTTTACTGTGGATGAGGTAAGATGCACATAAGATACTGTACTATGGAAGCAAACAAGAGACAGAAGTAATTTGAATTGTATTAGACAACCGAATTTATAGCATTGAAAATAATTACTTTGAAAATCATGAATCTGAATTTTTTTTGCTCCGAATTTATCTATGTGAAATAAAAATGTAAAAATTCAAGTTAAAAAAATTCGAATGTTCAAATTCAGATCCCAAAAATTCAAGTGAAAAAAATTCGACGTCAAATATTTCGGTGTTTAAAATACGATGTCAAAAATTGCGATGCAGCCTCATCCGGGCTACTCAGACAGGATAAGCAATCGAGCCCTAATGCAATCAAACCGACTTCTGGCCTATCAGAGCCAAGCGGCAAACCCCGGGACAGTGCGGTGAAGCCCAATGCTGCAAACTGTAGGCGATGGATGCAGATGGGAGCAATTCCCGTAGACCCTTTGTTAAAATGTCCAACTTAACATCAGAAAATGAACATGTTTCTAGCCTGGATCTACAAAAACATATTCTGTATATAGTTAGATTCCCCGTTCATGACAACGGGGCTGCTGCTCCTAGCTCCTCTCTGCTAGCTCCGTTAGCTCCGTGATGCTACAGCGGCTCAGCTCATGAGGAGAACACTACTTGAACTCGGCCGTGTTTGTTGTGTTGGCTCCTGGTGGACTATTCGTCCTGCAAATATAGGATTTATCTGCGGTTGAAACAGACCGTCCATGAATGCAGTTTCTTCGGTAAGTCAACCCTGCGTACTTTATGTTATGTTACTGGTGTTTTTATTAAGCTAACGTTAATGAATGTTTAGAGTTGGGGTAGCATTTGAGCAATCGTAGCTCCATCTGTGCTAACGATGCTATGCGTAGCATCCAAGAGTGTAAAACATTAAGTGGGATGCTACTGTATACTAAAAGGCTTCTGTGCGAGGTTGCTAAAATAAGGTCATCTTTGTACGTTAGATAGTTAGGTTATTGTATGCATTGTTAAGGTTCATTTAAATTCGCTATGCTCTACTATAGCATAAAATAGACTAGCTAACGTCAACGTATTGTTGAAGAGAGGCTTAGTGTATATTAAATCAACCTCACAATGAAATATGTGTATCTTTAAAATATGAACGTCACATTTCAAGATGGTCCAGAAATAACGCTCCCTTAGATATTGTAATATGGTTTGTTGAACTGGAGTTATTTATTGCAGCTAACCGCCTATCCGACCCAAACATTGTTGTTTTTAATATTATTACCAATGCCTCTTTTAATTGTATTATCCTCACACTTGAGAAACAGCCTTATCGTGGCTGTAGAACAGAACATGTAACTTAATGCCTGCATTTAAGGACGATGAATAGCGTAGTCAATGCTTTAGTGACAAGGAAATGATTTGTTTAAATATGATATATGACGTTATCTGTGACTTCAGTGGAAATTAAGCTTATCCATTGCATTGCATGTGTTCAATAGGTTTGTGTCTTACCCTTACGCGTGTGATACATATGAATATGGCATTTGAAAACACATTAATTTGACTGACTCATGAAAACCTCATCCAAAGTAACAGTAAAATAAAAAGGACCTACACAATAATACTCAATCAAACTGATACAGTATAAGGACTGTGATATCCAGCCATTCTTAAGTATAACAATAAGATTATGACCTGTTTTTAAAAGAAGATAAAAAGTTGTTTGCATGGAAAGAAGTCTGTAACCCATGCATGTAACTTTACATCTGTTTGTTCAAAGTGTCCTCAAGGTGATCCAGACAGGCTGGACCAGAGGAGGAGAGACAGATCTGGACCAGAGGAGGAGAGACAGACCTGGACCAGAGGAGGAGAGACAGACCTGGACCAGAGGAGGAGAGACAGATCTGGACCAGAGGAGGAGAGACAGATCTGGACCAGAGGAGGAGAGAACAGATCTGGACCAGAGGAGGAGAGACAGACCTGGCCAGAGGAGGAGAGACAGACCTGGACAGAGGAGGAGAGACAGACCTGGACCAGAGGAGGAGAGACAGACCTGGACCAGAGGAGGAGAGACAGACCTGGACCAGAGGAGGAGAGCAGATCTGGACCAGAGGAGGAGAGACAGATCTGGACCAGAGGAGGAGAGAACAGATCTGGACCAGAGGAGGAGAGACAGACCTGGACCAGAGGAGGAGAGACAGACCTGGACCAGAGGAGGAGAGACGACCTGGACCAGAGGAGGAGAGACAGATCTGGACCAGAGGAGGAGAGACAGATCTGGACCAGAGGAGGAGAGACAGATCTGGACCAGAGGATGAGAGACAGAACCTGGACCAGAGGAGGAGAGACAGACCTGGACCAGAGGAGGAGAGACAGATCTGGACCAGAGGAGGAGAGACAGATCTGGACCAGAGGAGGAGAGACAGATCTGGACCAGAGGAGGAGAGACAGACCTGGACTCCTAACAGCAGAGAACTTCAGCACGGATTCCAAGGTACACCTTTTTCATGCTTTACAAAGAATGCATAAAGTAATGACTCCAATACACTGATAGACATGCCATTAAACATGGCTGAATACTAGATCACCTACACATCAGTGATGTTGAGTGGACTTTATTAGCAAAAGGTTACATTTACATTTTACCAAGCAACATCACATAGTGAGAGCTGCGACCCTTTGTCTTTCAGTGAGACAACAGAGCAAGCTTCCACAGTTGCACTAAGTTTTGATAACAGTTAAATATTATTTTAATAATACATTTAATTCAATGTTGATGAATTTAGAACGGTTTATTCATAATCTGATTATCTTTGCAGTACACTGTTGGATTTAAAAAAACACATTCAAATAAAAAAATCATTATATTTATGAACAAACAAACACACCTCTTTCTTAAATAACACACTTGCTCTGCAATAATATGTTTTTTGATATTTCTGTTAGGAAAGGACACGCCTGAGAGACAGGACTGCTTCACCATGTTCTCTTTCTCTGAGGGTCCAGAAGAACATCCAAGAGGGAAAGGAAAAGCTGATGTGATGAGATTTAAGAGCAGTACAGGACATTCACTAAGAGACACTTGTATTGTAACACAAAGACCTGCACACTGACTAGTTTTGTAGTCTAACAAGAACTTCATTTGTGTTGTTTTGTGTTTTACGTTGCACAGAGACAGTGTGATTATTGTCAGGCCTATAAAGTTTGGCAAAAAAAAAGTCAGCTGATCAAATGCATTTGCACTTTGAGCTTCACATCACTTGTGCCGCCGAGTTTGGAACGTCATAAATAAATGGTGCCAATCTTCAGTCAGATGTGAATGTGTAATTTAACATTTTCAGTAAGGATAACGGACAAAAGGAGAGCAAATACAATTTATTGAAATGTGAACTAAAAGTTATCAAGCATGAACCATCACCATTTAAAAAAAAACAAAAAACGAAATAATATACATAAGTTACACTCAATGTGAATCTGTTAATTGACAGGCTAGGCCTGTGCAGGTGGTAACAGCTATGCCCAGCATGGGCTAAGTTCTGTAGGTGCAGCTGGTGCAGGTCCTCCTCCATCAGGTCTGGTCCTCCTCCCTCAGGCCTGCAGGGTCTTTCCCTGCGAGGAGGGAAAGACCCTCAGCCCTCTCTGGCCAAAGCAACAGACAGGACGTTCATAAAGCTGAGGTCTCCCCCAAAGTCTCTAATCATCCATCCTGTGAATATGAGAGGGGAACAAATAGTGTAATAGATGCTTTGGACAATAAGAAATATAAAGTTAACTGTTGAGTTGCTCAGTTTTTTAGATTGACAGGGTTTAATAACACAAACAAAAGGAGAGAAATAAAGATTGGTCTTTCAATACATTGTGTTGATTTTGTCTTTTGAATTGTTTGTCTGAAGTCAAGTAGCTAGAACTGTTACTTATAGTTTGAATGATACAGTCTGGTTATAATGTGTGGAGGAGGCATCACAGGTAAGAGCACCATTTGTTGTGTTCCATCCACAACACATTGATGTGTGTGTATTTATTTATCTACTATTTCTTGAATCATTGCTGTCAGTCCAAAACAAGAGATTTTGTTTTGGTAACATTTAAAAAAAACAAACATTATCTCTTTTCCACTACACTATCTTGAATACTTTAGTTTTTACGTCACTACATTTATCTAACAGCTTTAACATTGTAAAGGTGTCACTTCGGACTCTGGGTAATTATGACAGCATGTCCTACTCAGAGCCCTAGAGTCTCTCGGGCTCTGGTCCTACTATTTTGAGACTTTGAACAAACCAGACCTTCATCTATTAATGTAGAAAATAGTCGGCACATTACACCATTATGAAAGTAATAATTAGTTAGCTCATTGTTCAAAATGAGCTCCAACTACAACAGTTAAGTCAACTCGTGCATCGGTAATAACAATAAATCAAATGATATAATAGAATAACTTGTGTCTACTTTAAATACTCTAACAACACTTGTTGCTAATTATACTAGCATACTTTTACTAAAGTAACATTAACATGTTTAAATGCAGGGCTTTTGTAAGATAGTATTTCGTATAGTGTAGCATGGTCTACTTGACTTATCTAACCGAAGTTAGATAAGTCCCCCCCCCCCACACACACACACACACACAAAAGGACACGGTAACGTTGTGATTCACTTCAATTAATGATAACTACGGAGCTTGCTAACAGCAAGGCACAAGGCTACTTCACTCATTTAGCTAATGTAAGATACAAATGCTGTCGAGCCCTCACTGCTTGTATATAAGATAAAGAGCACAAACTGACTACTTACCCGAGCGGCGAGCCCCGCTGTTCTCCGTCATTTTTCTCCCGGGTTGTTGTGATCACATGACTGACAAAGCCGTGCTCTGATAGGCCAAGTCAGTTTGATTGCATTAGGGCTCGATTGCTTATCCTGTCTGAGTAGCCCGGATGATGCTGCATCGCAATTTTTGACATCGAATTTTATACACCGAATTTTTTGACATCGAATTTTTTGACGTCGAATTTTTGGGATCTGAATTTGAACATTCGAATTTTTTTCACTTGAATTTTTACATTTTTATTTCACATAGGTAAATTCGGAGCAAAAACATTCAGATACATGATTTTCAAAGTAATTATTTTCAATGCTATAAATTCGGTGTCTAATACAATTCGAATACTTCTGTCTCTTGTTTGCTTCCATACTGTACTACATAATAATATTTGAACCATATGAGAAAGAAACTCAACCCTCCACCACGCAATGTGTGTACCTGATCAGCTATTTTAGGTCAACAAACAATAAAGTGTTGGATATAAAATTGACGGCAATTAACAAAATGCTCGTTACTTCACAGACATACTGGTAGTCCTCAGATTATCTCTGTTGTTGAATCACTTTCATTACAATAGTTTTAAACCATGTACAAAGATCATTCAAATACGAAAGCTAGAATAAAAGCGGGGCAAGAGAAGTGCCGATTGGACACATTTTTTGTTTGGTTATTATTAGTTCTGTTTGTTTATTATAGATAATGCTAATTTTCAGGTTAATGAAACACATCGCTTTGTTGTATGTATACCTCACTTAATGTTATTACTTTTTTGTCTTGAATATTGTCTTCTGTAAGAGGATTGAGGGCCACATGATATTTCTTTTTACCAAAAGTTAAATAGCAGTTTGAGTTCTGACTTTAAACCCAGAATTATGAGATTAAAGTCAGAATTTTAATTTTTAAGTTTTGGTTACATCCCAATATGTGGCTCTAATCCTCTTCCGTGTTTGTGCACCTGTCCCCTTATCGATTTTGTTTTTTCGTTGAACAGTCTGAAAGCCATGTTTATAAATACCCTTTTCCAATAAAGCTCAAAAAAAGATTTAAAAAAACCCTTTGTTGACTCGATGGCGCCACCTGGTGTCGTTCTCGGTGTAGTGCTAGTGGGAGGAGATTCAACCTCCACTCGGTCCTACTGAACTTTAGACTCTTCATGAACTAAATCAAACCTTAAGAACAGGCTGTCTTTGTAAAAGTTCACCGTTATGTTCTGGACCAAAGATCAAACACACCTGGAAGCAGCTCCAAAGGTCAGTTTGCAGCCAATAATCGAGCCACGCTGCGGGTCTGAAGCGACACCGTGTTGACTTTACAGTTACATTTTACGGTGAGTAAACAGATCCAGATCATCATCGTGTTTCAGTCCCTTCTCTTGAGGCGACTTTAATGTTTGTTTAATTAAATCTGATTTACTGTGCCATCGATTATCTAGCTGTCAAACAGAGTGCAGTGGAGGGGGGGAGTACATAGATCCATTACTCGAATATAAGTACTTGGAGAAGTAGGAGAAGTACTAAAGTCTGATTTAACACTTGATTAGATTTCACATCATTCATCCAGATCTGTAAAGTAAAATATTAAATATAGTGAAGTAAAAGTACACCATTTACCTCTGAATTGTAGTGGAGTAGAAGTACAAAGTAGCAACAAATACTCAAGTGAAGTACAAGTATCTCAAAATTGTACTTAAGCATCTAGTAAGACCGTTAAACACCTGCACTTCGAAAGAACATCCATAACATTCATCTGGCTGCAGCTTACACATTAGTTATCTAATATATCATATTCCAATCACTTGTATACTCTTTTTTTCCACTATTTCACAATTTTTTTTGCATTTACGTCTTCCACTATTTTTTTTCAGTCTTTCACTTTTCAGAGCCTATGAACTCAGATTTTCATTGACATACAACTACACCGTATGTTTGTATATCAAAGAAAAGCCTTGAATCTTGAACCTTGAACATACAATTAGCTTTGGCTAACTTGAAGTGTCCATTTCTAGGGTTGTTTTATGCTTTTACAGTTTAATTGTGTGTGTGCCAAAGGTCTGGCATGGTTACTAACAACCAATAAAAAGCTAGGTTACCTTTTGTGTTGAAATGTATTGTATCATTTACTAAACAGGCCTCTGTATGAAATTGGTTGTATACAGCAGTTACTGTACTTAGTATAATTTTAAATACCCTATAGCGTCACTTTTAATTGACAGCTGGAGTTAATGTCACCTGATTTAAAACGTAAATGAGGGCCCTCTCAGAAATAAAGTGACTTTTTTTCAAATTAGAAACGTGAGAGGCACGAATAAAACACAGGAGGCTAAATATTTTCTGCAATTTAGAATCAAATACACCTGCTGATTACATTACATTCAGTGGGTTATTTTGATCATGGGATTGTAATATCTGTAAATCAGTGCTTGTAATACATGTGTTGCTATTTTTCCATAGATTTAATCAATCAATCAATGTTTAATTATATAGCCCAATATCACAAATGTTACATTTGTCTCAGTGGACTTCACAGTGTATACAGAATATCAGTATGACAATACGACACCCTCTGTCCTTAGACCCTCTGTCCGTAGACCCTCACATCGTACAAGGAAACACTTCCGGAGAAAACCCACAGTTTAAAGGGAACATGGGAGAAACCTCAGGGAGAGCAACAGAGGAGGGATCCCTCTCCCAGGACGGACAGACGTGCAATAGATGCCGTGTGTAAATTGGTAACTTAGAGTAAAGTGAACTATCTAAACACTCAGAGTCCTTTACCTCACTGAGCCTCTCAGTCTGACTGGAGAGGACTCTCCCTCCACATCATTGTAGAAACATCTTCTTCTTCCGTTAGAGCAGCTAGCACCAGATGCTAATAACAACAGCGCGTACCGGTGCACCCTCCCTTTCTCCCTCGCTCCCTCCCACGCTCACTCGCACTTTGGCTGTGAGCTGCGGTTGCCAGATAAGCCAACATCCCCCATTTTCATCACTTACAGCGCCCATCGTACAGGGCAAATGAAAAGTGTAACCGGGGTGAAAAGGGTTTTACATTTACTTAATTATGAATGTTGTTACATCAAGGCCGAACATTAGGATGAGCACCAACGGTCAAAACATTTTTTTTCCTCCCAGAGCTGTCAGCGCAGCGCCTCCACAGATCTGGCGCCCTAGGCGAACATCTATAACGCCAGTGCGACGGGCCGGCCCTGGTCTCAGGTTACGCTGTTGGAAGTGTAGGTACAACCATAGATATATATAAACACGTGTTTATATATATCTATGGGTACAACCATAGACTGTATATATAAATGGACGTAGGGTCCGTGACGTCACCCATAGGATTCTGCAGAGTTGCCGTGAAGCCCTTAGTAGGCGGAGTCGGCCACTAACGGCTCAACAGTAACGTTAGAGTTCAACTCCCGCCTTCTCCAAATAAGGGCAAAGAGGCGGAGCCGAGGCGGGACCTCCTGCCACCGAGCTGGAAGTTCCAGAGCTAGCTGAAGCTACCAAGCTAAGCTAACATTTACGTTTCTAAGGTAAGCGGACATGAAACTATAAATAATAATCTAAGTTATTGAGTTTTTAGCATAATACTTCAGAATCTTAAAACCCCTTAACGTTTGTATGCAATTGTGCTAAATTCAACACTGGAATCAAGCAAATATTAATATGTTTGCATGACATTAGTTATTTATATTTTGATATCACTTAACTATACGTTTAATACATTTAAGTCAAGCTAAGGTACATGTGATGGTAGCTAGTTAGCGCTCTTACCTGTGAGGCCTCCTCCAAACAGCATAATAACCAGACTGTATCATTAAAACTAAGTACCAGTTCTAGATCATTGACTTTAGACAAACAATTCAAAAGATAAAATGTATTTAAAGACCAATCTTTATTTGAATGTGCCTCTTAACCTGAGATATTAGTTATACAGTAATAGTATTGACAATCTAAAAAAACTGAGCAACTCAACAGTCAACTTTATGTTTCTTATTGTCTAAAGCATTTATTATTTTCATTTTCCCCCCACTCATATTCAGTGTGGACGGATTGAGACAGCCTGGTGTCCAGAGAGCTGCAGAGACTTCAGGGAGAAACCTCCGTGTGATGGACGTCCTGTCTGTTGGTTTGGAGAGGACTGAGGGTCTTTCCTCAGCGAGGAGGACCAGGCCTGATGAAGGAGCCCATGCTGGGCAAAGCTGATACCAACCGCACAGGCCTAGTCTGTCACTTTATTTGACTAAATGTGTTTACTTATACATTTAATAGGTTTACACCTTCTGTCCATATGTGCTTTTGGTTCACATTTCAATAAATTGTATTTGCTCTCCTTTTGTCCATTATTCTTACTGAAAATGTTAGATTACACATTCACATCTGACTGAAGATTGGCCCCATTTATTTATGACGTTGCAAAACAAGGTACATGTTGTGAAGCTCATAAAGTGAGGCAAATAGAAATAATCAGCTGATGGAGTGTAGATGTGGAAATAGCTGCATTCGATCAGCTGACTGTTTTTACAATAAAAGTAGTTTCTTAGTGAATGTCCTGTACTGGTCTTGAAATCTCATAACATCAGCTTTTAATGTTCCTCTTGGATGTTCTTCTTGACCCTCAGAGAAGGAGAACATGTCGTGTCTTTCAGGCATGTCCTTTCCTAACAAAAATGACAGGAAACATAAAACATATTATTGCAGAACAAGTGTGTTATTTATGAAAGCGGTGTGTTTGTGTGTTTAGGGGCTGTAGATATAATTATTTTGTAATTGTAATGTTTTTTTTTATTTCAACAATGAGCTACAAAGACAATCAGATTATGAATGAACAGTATGAAGTTCATCAACATTGAAATATATGTTATTATCAAAATAATATTTAACTGTTATCAAAACGTAGTGCAGATGTAGAAACTTGCTCTGTTGTCTCACTGAAAGAATCACTTTTACCACGTTTTTTACAGACAATATTGAGAGATAAATAGTAGCAGTTCTCACTATGTGTTAAATATCTTTGCCTTCAATACATTACATTAGAAAGCTGACAAAGTCATATTGCTAAATATCTAAATGTAACTTTTTGCATGGAAAAAAACCCTCAACTTCACTGATGTGTAGGTGATCTAGTATTTAGTATTGTTTAATGGAATGTATATCAGTGTATTCAAGTCAATACTTCATTCATTTAAACCAATATCTTTCTTGATTCTTTGTACAGTATGAAAAAAGAGTCTTTGTACCTGAGCTGAAGTTCACTGCTGTGAGGAGTCCAGTTCTGTCTCTCACTCTCTGGTCCAGCCTGTCTGCATCACCTGGACACCTTAAACAAACAGATATATATGTAAAGTACCATGTGTACAAACAATATAACTGATTCTCTTCTGTTGAACATGTTGGATTGTGTATTGTCCGAGTCAGGGTCCTTTTTATTTTACTGTAACTTTGGAAGTTGTGTTACCAATGCTTGCTGTTTATTTCATAACCATTTGGTAATACAATTAATAAAAACTTCAAGGTTTGGGTTCGTTCTTCAGATGACTGTGACGTTAACGTGTAAGCTCAATAATGAACTCCAGCTCAACCAACCATATTGTAATATCTAAGTAATCATCTTGAAATATGACATTAATAATTGTAATATACACACATCTTATTGTGAGGTTGATTTCACATACACTACTTCGACATTAGCTTGTCTACATACTTGAGCATAGCCAATTTAAATTAACCTTAGATGCATACAGTTCTACCTACATAATAAAATATCTCTAAGTTACAAGGATGTAACCTTATTTTATCAACCTCAAACAGAAGCCGTTTGTTCAACAGTATTATCCCACTTAACACTTGTCTATTTAGTTTTAACTTTTATATATACAGTCTATGATTTTAACTTGGAGGCTACGATTACAATCGTTAGCACCGATGTAGCTACCACTAGCCACTAACTAACCCAAGCCTTACCATTCATTACGTAGCCGATTAAAACCATTAACACATAAATAAAGCACTCGAATTTCACTTACCGCATTCATGCACCGTCTGTTTTAACCGCAGAGCGAGTCACAATAGTCCGATATATAAGCATGAAGAACAAACAACCACGGCCGGCTACAAGTTGTGTTTCCTGGATGAGATGAGCAGGCAGAGTCCCTGTAGCTAGCTTCACGGAGCAGCTAGCAGAGAGACAAGAAGCTAACAGCGGCAGGCACTTGACAGAGCCGTCACTCAATGTGACCACGCCCTAATTTATGCACAAACTTTAAGACCTAATATAAATAAAAGGGTCGCGTTAGAAAACAATTCACTCACAGATCCATAATCA